GTCTCTGATTGCTGAGGTGAAAGTGGGTACAAAATGCACCCAACCGTATGCGTTTTTGCTGTAGCGCTGCTACAGCGCTGCACAGCAAAAACGCATAAAAACAACTAGAAAAGAAATCTTTTTCCTCGAAAATATCCAGGAGCCTGGAACTTACAACGGAAAAATTTAGCGCAGTTGGGCAACTCTAGGGAAACACATGATATGATAAGGCGCGCAGGTTCCACTAGATTCATGCGCGCCGCAAATGTCTTCAAAAAATCTGAAGCGGGCTTAATCATTCTTAAAGAATTATCAAATTAAGCGAGTACTTCCCCCGAATTGCAGTACAAATGTGCATAAAAAAACGTTTAAAGTTCACAAATAACAATCAGCTCTGCTTTTTCAAGAAGAATAATCAGCAAAAAAAGTTACATTGGTTATTTACAGACGGCTTTTGATAGCAGTAATCAGCCAGCCAGGAACACGCAACCATGCTGGGAAATATGCGCCGATGTCAGCTCGGCCCACATGGCTAAGAAGCATTTTTAATCCACGCAAACTTTCTGGCTGACGTCCGTCAATATCCTGAAACTTGTAATCGATCCCCAGATCAGCTGCTATTAATATTCTGCCAGTTTTCTTCATCACGTTTGGATCTGTTGCCAGAGTAACAACTGCTTTCCCAGCAAATTCTGGTGTTTCACCATCTTTGATCAGTTTTCCAATGCTTCGCGTTATTTTGTCGCCGCCCTTTTCGAATACACCACTTTCTGCTGCTTTCTCAACTAGCTGAAATGTGCTGTGATTTCAGAAATCAAGACATAAAGAAGTATGAAATGTTTTCAGTCGGTGGACCTACATATGTACAATGCTAAAAAATCCCGAAATCACACTTTTCTAGTATTTGTTAACAGGCCGCAAGAAATAGGCTACGCGAATACAGTATAAAAGCAGGACATTTTGTCCCGAATTCCCCATGCATGAGTAGCAACTCTTCATTTTTATGCGTTTTTGCCTATATGCAAATTGCAAAAACGCATATTG